CGTTAGCGCGATAACTCGAGCAAAAATCATCCGATTTTGATGAAATTTGGTACAAACGTGTAAACCTACGTTTATTTGAACGAGTTCGCGAACCAGCGTGATTGGATATGGGAACAGGGGTCTATACACAGGAATATGTGAACAGGGGGGTTTTATGGGGTAAAAATTGGGTTTTCCCACTTTGACCCTAAAAACTTAAAATTTAGCAATTTCTTTCCAAAACAATTTGTAGAGCTTAAAAAAACAAATAATTTAGTATATTGAAGCGTTATTATGCGCCTAATGGTTAAGGAGAAAATTCCAAAAACTGTAAATTTAAAATTCTTATGTTATTCTTATGGAGAATAAATAAACTGTTAGTAGTTTGCTTGTTTATGAACATATTTTGAAAAAAATTGGAAAATGCATTCATTTCATACTAAACTATTAACATTTTACAAAAAAAAAACCTTTTTACTCTCCCTGTTGCAGCAAACCTAAGTACTCGTTAAACTAATGCAATTTAAATAGGGAATAAATGTGATATTTTTAAGGAGACATTTTAGTGTAAATCCAATCAGGCTAATGGAAATTCGCTTAGTCCGCAGGTTTGCTGCGGCGGGGGTATTTTAATTTACGTTTGATAATAATATTATTTTGTACTATTAATAAACACTGTTCGCCGACCAAAAAATCATTCAAGTGTGATGTAATGAGTTGCAGTGAGTAGTAGAGGCAGAGGGCAAAAAGCCGCATTGAAATGGCCATAAAATCAATGAGTAAGAGGAGACGCCGAGCCTGACTAGACGTCTGCCCTGCGGTTAAGTTTTATCTCAATCTTATTCATATTTACTTTTTAAAATTCGATAAAATGTTTGATTGAAATTTGCATTTGGTACCTATTTGATACCTGATCTAACTCTTCAGTTGAGTACAACTTTTCGCGGTGTGTCTTTGCATTCTGATACCAATGGCTGTTACACATTTACGGAAATGTATTTTGTACAAATAATTGCTTGGTTACCGATAGATCTTAAACTATACTACCATGAAATTCAATTTCCGTAAAATATGTAAGTAAGTAGTAAAAAACGTGTATACATAATGTTTTTTTTCCTAACCGAATGAGTAAATGAATGAAGGAAAAGGAGGTTTTAAATACAGAAGTAATAAACAAGAATTTTCATTGTTAAACATATTTTAAACTTTAACTGTTGAATATTAAATGGATGTTTCAGTTATTAGCACTAAATACAACATATTGTAAGTATGGCACCGGAGGGTCGAGCCATGGCTCGGTATAGTTTATTTCGATTTTAAGCAATATAGACGAAACTCACAGTTTATTATCAACTAATTTTGCCTTTGATTATTTAAGTTTCAGTAGAATTTCAATTTATTATGATGGTAATTTTAACCTGGCAAGTATTTAGGGACAAAATGGTACCGATTTGGGTTCCCATACCCTTACAATAGCAGACAAATTAATATTTTTCGTAATATTTGTATTTGATTTCAAAATATTGCCATTAGTGCACTAACCATTGTATTTATTTCAAATGTATTTTAATTTTTTGAATCCTCCGTAAATTCCCAATAGTATAGAGTCATTGAGATAGAACATCTGCATAAGCCCTTATTCTGAAATGGAAGTTTGAATTTGTGATTTTGAAAAAAAAATGCAATAACTTTTACGTAAGTTTTCTACGACATACTGGACTGTAGATAGCTTCAAGTATTACTAAAAACTTCTTAAACTAACAACCTTTAAAATTATGTATAAACTTACTGTTTCTTTGATTTGTTAATCTTTAATTTAAGAGTTTCTCTAGAAAAACACGGAACGGCTAGAATTTATTTCCCTGTATAAAAACATGTATTTGCTTAGATAATATGGCAACAGCTGTACAAAAAGTTTTGAATAGGTTTTTTTATTGAGTGGAGCGAAGCGAAGCTCTTTAGGATTGTATTCAATGCAAACTTTCTAACACTATAATTTAAAAACTGCTGAACATATTTTAGCCAAACTTACCAAGGTTGTTTCGACAAATGTTTGAAAGGTTTAGAATGAAAAAATTTCAATTCTTGAATTATCAAGAATTTAAATTGTTATGAAAATTATATGGGCATTAGCCCATATAATTTTAAAGTAACTCAAAGTCTTTTAAACAAATTTAACGTTGTTAACTTTAAACACTAGTTTGAAGTTTTATCACAAACTATACGTGTATATGGAAGTTAATCCTAATAAACCTTTAATATTCTTACAAAAAATCTCACAAGGATTACAATAAACCTTATTCAAACATAATTTTTGATACAGCTATTGCTGTTGCCGTTTTATTTGAGCAAATACGTGTTATTTTAAAGGGATATGATTTTGGCCATTCCGTGTTTTCGAGAGAAATTCTTTAATTTAAGAATACAAATTAAAAGAAACAGTAGGTTTACATACATTATTTTTAAGGTTACTAACTGAAAAGTTTTTTTATTAATCGCTGACACTCTACAGTCCAATGTAGTATAAAACAACTTTGACAAAAGTGATTACAATTTCCTCAAAAATCACATATTCAAAATGTTCGTTGCAGTATAAGGACTGAAAAATCAGATTTTTTATTTAAATTACTATGTAGGCTACTATTAATATTGGTAATATTGGAAATTCAACGATTATTCAAAAAATGACAATAAATTAGAAATAAAACAATATTTAGTACACTTATGGCCAATTTATGTCAACAAATACAAATATTTTGAAAAAATCTTAATTTGTCTGTTATTTCCTACCTGTGAGGATAAGGAAATCTAAATTGGTGCTATTTTGTAAAAAAATACTAAGTAATTTAACACAAAAAATTGTTTAACACTAACCTCATTCTACCCTGTATTACAGACATTCAGACATAGCTCGAATTAGAGTATAGGATCTATTTATTAGCGGGCTATATTTAGTGATGAGTCAATATTTACCAATGCATAGCTTGTTTATATATAGGTTTAATATTCGTAATAATTATCGTAGTCTTCTTATCTACTATTAAAAGTGACTACTCGAACTACTGTATACTTCGAAAATGTTTTTTTAGCCAATTGAAAGAAGTGACTAAAAGTGTTATGCATGATAAGTAAAATTGTATGTTCACTGTTGTATGTCTGAGATCATTGATTGATTGTGAAATAATTTGGCGTCACTTTCGTACAAATTTTACTTTAAACACTTTGAATTACCAAGGGTAATAACTCCGATGAACTTTAATCGGAGAACTTTATGGACCACGAAATAGAGGTTAATGGAACTGTTAATTCTTTTTAATTATAGCTAAGCTAGTTTTAGTTTTCATTTAGATTTTAGAACTCAATGACTCTTGGTTTATGTATATATATGTATTTATACTTGTTTTTATTCTGATGTAGCTTGACAATGCCTATTCCTTCTGGACATGGTCAATGGTAATAAACTATTCTTATTCATTTATTAGTTAAATTATTACGATACATTATTACACCCTTTGATTACAATGTTAATTACCATGACTCACTTAAGCTATCCCATTGATCAAGAAAGACTTACAATGCTATGTAAATTGGTTGGTCTTTGATACTTTTCTTGAATAACTAAGAAACTAACCTCCAAATACTCTTTTGTATATTTATGAATACATTAAGAATATGTTTTAAATGAACTTTTCCGTTAGCAAATCTTTTGAATATAATTCCATAAATAATTTAATTCAGCCATAAGCGGATTGTACTGTAACCGATTTGGACTGTAGTCCTCACTTCAACCGTACAAACGCGTAACTATTCGTTTAATGGCATTTGGGTTAAATGTGTCAATTTTTTTCACGATCTCATATAGTATACATATTGCTTGCATATCATTAGCTACGCCAGATTTTAATTTCTTTGCCTAAGCAATACAGAATATACGTAATAGGTTTGATTTTTGATTATCGATTAATCAATCATCAATGAAAGATTTAAGGACTTAACCATTTTTCTTTCCTTATATGGTTAAAATCGTATGTATATTATTCTTACTATTTCAAGCTAAAAATAGTATTAATTTATAGTCCACATTAATTAACTACCTTATCGCTCTGGCAATACAGGTTTTACTACATAAATGCATTAATCTTTGGTGTACATTCCGAATAGCTAAGGTACGGATTAATTGTTCGATTAATACTTAAATGTTTAGGATAGTTTCATTCACGTATTATTTCCAAATGCACAGCTTATCAGTTAAACAAACAAAATACTAGATAATCGGTTAGGCCTAGTCTTAGCTGTTCACGCCGAATAGATAATGCTTTAGTAATAGATAACTTAGTAAATATAGTATTTAGATAAATTCACAGTTTCATCTTTGATTTCAACTCCCAGCTAAGGTACGATCTAATAACCTTTCGTAGTGGGTTAAATGTTATAATAGGTTTTTTATTTGTTTATAAAACTCATGAATGTTTATATTAAATTCCAATGTGAGTTACATAGAATGCAATTAATTTAATGCAAGTTTGGGATGAATTCTCATTTCACACGTAGTTCATATATAGTTCTCTACGTACTACCTTTGACTATTAATACAACAACTAGACAATCCATCCCTATGTTAAAGTTGTAGCCAAGTTTTTAATACAATTTGTCTTAGTTGATGTGAGCCACCTACACATTGCGCTGATCTAAATTACTGATTTCTGCCGATTACATGATGGTTTTTACCAAGTCAAACTGATGGAATGACTTATTATGAGCTATAGCAACTGTTCTGTATCCAATAGTCAATGGTACTACCAAAATCTGATTCCACTAGTAATACGTATCCCATTCTTCTTCAGAACTCGGTCCTAATTTTGATCCGACTTTATATCCACCCCTACATAATTTTACCTCTTCACTCAAGATACTAATGTACTTCTCCGCACTATCCCGACATGTTAAACTACATGTGATCGCATACTACTTTAGACTCTTGGTTATGTTACCTGTACACTCAATATAGGTGCTTGTCTTACCTTTGATAGAAGCAGACCTCCTATCGTCCGTGACGGCGGCGCTGCTGAGGGGTGCTCGCTCTAGCTGTGGACCCGAGACCAATGTGTGGTGATGGTGATGGTGGTGGTGATCTACCCCGGTGGTCGCCGGTACTCCCGCCTCTATGCCGATAGCTACCCAACACATCACGAGCACACAATCCCACATGGCTTACGACAGTGTCTCTGTCATGCTGGGGGGTCGGCGGTTCGACGGGCACTGTGCATGGTCCGACTGAAGAGCGCCTCGCTCGCACGCGCACGCGCCCCACCATTGTTGCTGGGATTGTTGCGGTATCACCTGTGAGCGCCCCCCTCCACCCAGTGGGGGCTACTCATGGGGCTTTTACCGTATTAATAGAGATCGATGGCTTTTACACGGCAATAGATGTGTTGCTGATAAAAATGAACTATTGTCAACGCGTTCACAAAAATATTCTAGTAACTCCTCGACGATTAAAAAACTACTTCTACGTACAGGTTTTGGAGTGAGACAGTTTATTTATTATACTTACGTCAAATTTTTATAATAAATGTTTTGCTATCGCTTTCAAATAAAATATATGTTAAATATACCACTACAACAGCTTGCTTCCCGTCATGCTGTTGTAGTGGTTAGTCCCTGAGGTCCCGGGTTCAAATCCCGCCAAGTCACCAATGGATTTTATTTAAGTGATAATGCCGCAACACCTAGGTCTAGCCTGAAATAATATGAAAAACAATCCCGGGCTCGTTTCTAGCGTCCTAGGACAAAAAATATATACGTAATGTTTTAAAAGCCTGAAATCTTAATATTGAACTTATGAACTAACCACCGATTGTTTCGTTGACCTACAGATGTACAGGCAACTTATTAATCAAAAGTTACTGTGTACATTGGAATATGTTTGTCGTTATGAAAAAAAGAAACTAATATAATACATTATTTAACATACAATGTGTTCAAAAGGTCTGGAACTCCCTTCGTTACTAATCCATGGTATCTCCATGTGTTTTCTCTTTTTTGTGACATTTGGATTTTTAATGGTGATTTTCCCATTGAAGACCTATAAAATAACGGAAACTTAAATTTTCTTTTCAACCTGCTAGATCTATTTTTATTAAAATTTAGTATGTTGTGGTCCTTATGATTCCAAACAAAATGGACAACCCCCATATTCCTGTAAAAAGTAGGGTTCAAGGTTATTGTAACTTTTGTGATTTTCCCCGTGAATTATCATAGGTTTACTCCCACCACTTAACCTTATAAAGTTTGATGACATGGAAATCAATGAAAACAATAACCATTATAGCTCGGTGATACTTACACACTTTAAAAATACCCTACAGAAGACGCAGTTGACGCCGAAAACAATTGCATTCTAACGACATGGGTTTAGAAACTTTCTTACATGAATATAATTACGATAAAGCATTCAGACATTTTTAAAATCGCTATGAAGAAAATTTACAAATGTTTTAGTAATCAACCATAACAAATCAAATACCGGTAATATACTAACAGTCTAAAATAGTTATATATCATTATAACAACTCTTGGAAGATAAACCAGTAAAATGGTCACTTGAGCTTTAATTTAATACAAAACCGAACAAAGGTTAGGTAAGGCTAGGCTAGGTCAAAAGGTAGTTGCCGATTTTTGTAAAATATGTGCCTACCACTCATCTTATAAATTCATTACCCGACCGACAGTTATAATAATCCATATTTTCTAGCCTCTGAGCTGGTTCTATATCTAAATTGAAATATTACCTTCGTCAGCCTGCTCCTGTATACCAATGTTACTGCCGTTTCAGCATCACTGTGCCATCATCATACTGTTCAACCAAAAGGCGTCGTTATAACGTAAAAACACGAAATTCTGTAAGTATTCTCGTTAGCTTTAATTACAAAAAGTTAATCGTTACATGAATAATTAATCAAACTAATAACATCAATAAAAAAAATACATAAACTACTTTAAAGAGTTTAAAGGGTCTTAAAATACTATTTAAATTTAAAATGTGTACTGTATTCATTACTATATGTTTCTAGGCATTTGTTGAAATAATTTAACATGTTGAGAATTAAATTTAGTATTCATTTTTGAAATGTTTTAAAATAATTTTAAACTTTAAAATAAAAAATTATGTCTTTTATTTCCTCAAAACTTACTACTTACAAAATGGGCATTATAAGCTATTTTGTATCATGAATTAATTGGCAAAATAGTGGCTAAGACAAAATCATTATTTTGCGTTTATTTAAAACTATAGTCTAGATAAAACAAGAATTATGAAAATTTTTAATTAGTGCAAGACGAAATTAGACTTATTATACATATATATATATTTATTAAAACAAATACAAAGAGTATACCACGAGCGAAGATCAATGACCAGAATATCAAAGATGTTATTACCCTTGTTCACATTATGCTGAGATCATGGAAACTTTGTTACAACTTTGTTCACAAATAACAACCAACACCAACCCTACTTCCTTTTAATCTTTTTCTGAACTGTCTTTAAGAATAAGTTATTGCAATGTAAAATTTGACAGATTTTGTTAGTGTATTCAATTGATCAATTCTCAAATAGCTATATTATAATCTTACTAATTTTATTATATTATTTATATTGATTTACAATGTCCGTCTAGTTGAATTATATTTCACTCAAGTGGTTACTAAATATTATCATATATTATTTACTAGCTGCTGTACCCGTGCTTTGCAACGGCTGACACTGAAGAGAAAATATTGATGTTTAAATCTGTTGTATAAAATAGTTACATATTTAACTTTGATGTCAGGAAATAATTTCATCGGACCTCTTAGTTTGAAAAAAAATATCTTTCTTTCAAGCTTTACCAACTTATATGGCTTCCTAGTAAAAAGTAGACGCTGATGCATGTATGAAAATACTATAACATACGATTAAATTTTCTTATTTTACGCTTACTTAAAAGTTTACTTAGTTGAAAAAACTTACATATTATGAAAAAATGATGGGTAAAAAGGAATTGCACAACATAGGGTACTGTATAAAACGTAATTGATTACACATAAAATATATAGGCTTATATAGTACCCTACCTACTGAAACTTTTTCAGGAATCATTACCTGCATCTCATTATGTAAATATCACAGCAATCAAAAATAAAACGACGGAAAACTTCTATTACATTATGTTGAAAAGCCATTCCCTATTATCGTAAATCGGAGCACAAATTTTATCAATTTGTATGACACTGTACACATTATAATATTAAGAATAATAAGTAATAATAAGAAATGAAAAAGTATGATAAGAAATCAACAATATAATACGTACCAGTTCTTATATTTACTCGTTCGTTAGTTCATTGCATTTACAATAATTAACACGAAACTAATCGAAATCACTGATGAAATACAGTTCAAAAAGGCTTTATATTTTACAATAGCATACAAAGGGTAGGCTTCAAGTATGTTTAGTAAATTAGGCCTAAGTAAATAGTAAAAGAAATATAAGTAGTAGTTACCTGGAAAAAATTGTAGTATAATTAAAATTCAGTTCGTAAATTAAAAAAAACAAATAATAGTGTAAATAGTCACCTATAAGTTTAAAAATAAACCAATCTGTTCACACGTCACGTTTGAATTAACATTTTTAATTAAGAAATGACGTGTTGATCAGTTCAGATTTGTTAACAAATAGCTACCGGTACCAAAATAATAACAAAACATTCATATATCTCAATGATCCTTCTGTTTCCATAAAAATATACCAATAAAACTACTGTACAGTATTCTCATAATCAACTTAAGAATCTTGGGAACAGAACCTGTACCTCTTAACCTCTGCTCTTTGAACTATCAAATTAAAGTATTTATTTAAAAATCATTATAATCTGTTTAGCCCGCTAATAACATCAGTTGTTATATTGAGCAAAAATTACACTGAAGATGACTCAGGATAGGTGTATATAGTTCACACCAATTATTGATTTAATTATTTTACTTGGCTCTCTCCTGCCTAAACTTAATTCCATAAGTAAAGAAGCAATTTTTAGGAAATTTTGGTTTGAAAGTGAAATCTATATTTCATAATTTTATACTTATTTTATGTAAATTAAAATTTAAATAAAGATTTCCAACCAGCTGTTTGAATCAAAACAAACCTTAAAAACAATGTTTGCGCAAGTATAGTCTAATATGAACGGGTGATTTTTACCATCGATTGTAAAATAAATTTCATGGATTGCCAGGTTAAAATTTCCATCCATAATAAATTGGAATTCCACCGAAACTTATAAAAGCTTAGTACCTGGGGACCGAGCTTTGCTCGGAGAAAATCATTAGTTCACTCTGAAAGCAGTCTTAGTATCGGAGATACATAAATCTGTTCCCAAACTCCACACGGCTCGCCTTTACAACGTCCTACACCATTTCCTACGTCATGGACCTGTTTCCCTCCATTCCCATAGCACTTTAAGATTGTAGATACCTTAATCTAATCGTTATTAACAGTTCCCACACTCCGGACAGCTCGCCTTGACTACTTCCTTCACCACTTCCAACGTAGCGGACCTGTTTTTCTCCCTTCCCATAGCATTTCAGAATTGCAGATACGTTAATCTAATCGTCATAAACAGTTCCCACACTCCATACTAATCGCCTTTACTACTTCCTTCACCACTTCCTACGTCGCAAACATGTTTCCCTCCCTTCCCATTGCATTTAAAGATTGCAGATACATTAATCTAATCGTCATAAACAGTTCCCACACTCCGGACAGCTCGCCTTGACTACTTCCTTTACCACATCCTACGTCGCGGACCTGTTTCCCTCCCTTCCCATTGCATTTAAAGATTGCAGATACATTAATCTAATCGTCATAAACAGTTCCCACACTCCGGACAACTCGCCTTGACTACTTCCGTCACCACTTCCTACGTCGCGGACCTGTTTCCCTCCCTTCCCATAGCATTTTAGGATAGCCCATACCCTTATCTAATCGTCATAAACAGTTCCCACACTCCGGACAGCTCACCTTGACTACTTCCTTCATCACATCCTACGTCACGGACCTGTTTCCCTCCCTTCCCATAGCATTTTAGGATTGCAGATACCCTAATCTTATCGTCATAAACAGTCCCCACACTCCGGACTGCTCGCATTTACTACTTCCTTCATCACTTCCTACGTCACGGACCTGT